GGGGCATGTGTATACCTGCTCCACGCCGGGAACCCAAAACATCCCCTCCCCGGCTCAAAGTGCCTCCAACATATTTGTCCTTTGAACCGTGTGTCACGGGTGTGTGTGTGTGTATGTGTGGGTGTGTGTCCTACTCAAAGTCCTCGCCGACTGGGGGTGGCAGGTAAGTGGAGCATCCGAGGAATGCGGCCAATGGATCAACGCTGTTTACCCCACACAGCTATCGCGCCAAAAAAAATAAAAGAGCTCTGAGCAAAGTTTGGATTTGAGCTCATAGAGCTGAAATGGGAATGACATAACACACCTCTTTCTGTCTTTGGGGGAGTCTTTTTGTGGCCGGGTGAGCCCAAAAGTGGCGATCACCTGGAGGTCCGAGGGGTTTCGCTTCATGGGGACGGCTCCCGGTCGCCACGGCAACCGGCGGCCTGTCCCTCACTTTTTCCTCGGGTCTCCTTGGAAACCAGGAAGTGGATTAGTTTCCACAGAGAGAGAGAGAGAGAGGATTAGGGAGGTGACATGGCTCGGCTCCAAACTCTCCCCTCTTGTCTTTTTTCACCCTTTTTTTCCCCCCCCCTTTCTTCTTGGTTCCAAAAGTCAGCACCACGTGTCCCTCTTCTCCTCTATGGCCTCTGGATTCTTTCTTTATTTAACTATTTATTTCCCTCCTGCCCCTCATGGTGTTGCCATTCCGCTGTTCCTTTAACTCAAGTCAAGTCAAGTAGGCTTTATTGTCAATTTCTTTACATGCGTTGGTCATACAAAGAATTGAAATTTCGTTTCTTGCTCTCCCGTGCAGACGTAGACATAAATTAGATAAGTTAAATAAATTAGACATATAATAAGAAAATTGTGTGATATAGTAAATAGAAAGTGATCGATTGTAATGTGCAATATTTACAATACAGTCATTCAAGTAACAGGCGTGAAGAAAGCGGCAGCGTGCGTGTGTGTGTGTATATGTGTGTGTATATGTATGTTTTTGAGTTGGTTCCATGAAGCTAACTCTATTTGGGATTTATTAGTTTTGGGAATTCCTCCTGGGCCATGGCGACCATTTGGACACTAATCTGAATAAAAAAGATGATGTTGCCCGCCCTTTAGCCAACGGCTTCTGGTTCGGCCTCCATCTCCGATCTATGCTGGATCCTGTTTTAAGATGCAGGGCCTGGTATTTTAAGTGCTCCCCCATCCCTCCTTCACAGGTGCTGAACGGCTTGGGATCTTGGGGGCAGTGTTGGCGAGTAACGGATTACATGTAACGACGTTACGTAATTTAATTACAAAAAAAGAGTAACTGTAATTCGTTACAGTTACAATGAGAAAATATGTAATTCAGTTACAGTTACTTCCGAAAATATTAAGAATTACAAATTTAGTTAAATTTTTTTAAAAATATAAAGAAAAACCTTTGCAAAATATGCAACTCACTGATAGACGAAGCGTATTGATTGACTAATATTTGATTTATCAATAGTTGATGCATGACAAACGTTTATCGATGTCTATGACCTAGCCTAGCCTAGCCTAGCCTAGCCTAGCCTACCTAGCCTACCCAAATGTAGGTGACCAGACGTCCTCTTTTTCCCGTCCTACATTTCAGACTAGGGTTGTCAAAAGTATCGATACTTAAAAAAGTATCGATACTAAAATGTTGTATCCGGATACGATACTCATTTTAAAAAGTATCGATAACAGACGTTAGCCATGAACTGCTAGCTGCGGC